AATATTTTGTCCCAGTCCATAGCTTTTATTCATCATTTTCTTGATAGTATCTCTTGAAGAACAGAATTTTTAGTTTTGATAAACTGCAATTTATTAGTATATTCTTTTATGGATCATGCTTTTGTTGTTGAATCTAAGCAATCTTTGCCTAGCCCAAGGTCACATTTACTCCTGTGTTTTTTTCTAGAGTTATATGATTTTAGGCCTTATATTTTTTAGTTTATTTATTTATTTTGAGAGAGAGCATGCATGCATGAGCAGGAGTGGGGCAGAGAGAGAGGGGGAGAGAAAGAATCCCAAGCAGGCTCCATGCTGTCAGTGCAGAGCCCAACATGGGGCTCAGTCTCACGAACTGTGAGATCATGACCTGAGCCAATATCAACAGTCTGATGCTTAACAGAATGTGCCACCCAGGCACCCCATAGGTCTTAAATTTAAACCCATCATTCGTTTTCGGTTAATTTTTGTATTTTTTGTATTTGTATTTTTGTATATTTTGTATTTCAGTTATTTTTGTAAATTTTTTTTGTATTTATATTTTTGTATATTTTGTATTTCAGTTATTTTTGTAAATTTTTTGTATTTGTATTTTTGTATATTTTGTATTTCAGTTATTTTTGTAAATTTTGTCAGTGCAGAGCCCAACATGGGGCTCAATCTCACGAACTGTGAGATCATGACCTGAGCCAATATCAACAGTCTGACGCTTAACGGAATGTGCCACCCAGGCACCCCATAGGTCTTAAATTTAAACCTATCATTCGTTTTCAGTTAATTTTTGTATAATGGATCAAGGTATGGTGTTTTGTGTGTTGTTGTGGGCTTTTGTGGGTTTTTTTCTGTTTGTTTTGTTTGGTTTGTTTTTGCATATGGAGGTCTAGTAGTTTTAGTACATTTGTTTAAAAGACTATCATTTCATGGGGTGCCTGGGTGGCTCAGTCAGTTGAGTGACTGACTTCGGCTCAGGTCATGACCTTGCAGTTTGTGAGTTCGGGCCCCGCGTCGGGCTCTGTGCTGATGGCTCAGAGCCTAGATCCTGCCTTGGATTCTGTGTCTCCCTCTCTCTGCCCTTTCCCCACTCATGCTGGGTCTCTCTCTGTCTCTCAAAAATGAATAAACGTTTAAAAAAAATTTTTTTTAAAGACTATCACATTTCCACTGAATTACCTTTGCACCTTTGTGGGGAATTAATTGACCATATATGTCTACGTCTATTTCTGTATTCTGTTCTTTCCATTTATCTAGTTGTCCATCTCAATTACAATTGCTTTATAATAAGTCCTGATGTCGAATAGCAGAAATCTTCCACTTTGTTTTCATTTTCAAAGTTGTTTTGGTTGGCCTCGGTCCTTGAACTGCTTTGGGAAATTTTTTTTAATGTTTGTTTGTTTGTTTTATTTTTAAAATTTATTTTGAGAGAGAGAGAGAGAGATGTGGGAGGGGAAGAGAGAAGGGGGGAGAGAGAGAATCCCAAGCAGGCTCTACGCCATCAGTGCAGAGCCCTGTGTGGGGCTTGAACTCATGAACCCTGAGATCATGACCTGAGCTGAAACCAAAAGTTGGATGCTTAACCAACTGAGCCACCCAGGCACGCCTATTTATTCATTGAGGGAGAGAAAGAGAGAGAGAGAGCGTGCACACAAGCAAGGGAGAGGCAGAGAAAGGGAGAGAGAGAGAGAGAGAGAGAGAGAGAGAGAATCCTAAGTAGGCTCCACTCTGTCAGTGCAGAGCCCAACGCAGGGCTTGATTCCATGAAGCCTGCGAGCATGACCTAAGCCAAGATCAAGAGTCAGACGCTTAACTGACTGAGCCACCCAGGCGCCCCACTTTAGGAATTTCAGAATTGACTTGTTAGTTTCGGCAAAAAAGCCTACTGGAATTTTGGTTAAGATTGTGTTAAAGCTACAGATTAATTTGGGGAAACTTGACATCTTAATAGTATTGAGTCCTCTCATAGAAGAATTTATTAGTCTTCTTCAATTTCTCTCAGCAAATTTTGTGGTTATCAATGTACAGATCTTGCCATATTTACTCCTAAGTATTTCATACTGGTGATGTTATTATAAATGTTTTTATTTTCAATTTCCAATTCTTTGTTATTAGCATATAAAACACAATAATATTTCTGTATATTGCTCTTGTATCCTGCAAACTTGCTTAAAGCACGTGTAACTCTATTAGCTCTTTTGATTTTTTTTTTTAATGTTTTTATTTATTTTTGAGACAGAGAGAGACAGAGCATGAGCAGGGGAGGGGCAGAAAGAGAGGAAGACACAGAATCCAAAGCAGGCTCCAGGCTCTGAGCTGTCAGCACAGAGCCCGACACAGGGCTCGAACTCACGGACTGTGAGATCACGACCTGAGCTGAAGTCGGATGCTTAACCGACTGAGCCACCCAGGTGCCCCTCTATTAGCTCTTTTGTAGATTCCACTGGATTTTCTACATAACCAGTCAAGTCGTCTATAAATAAGGACAGTTTTACTTCTTCCTTTTCAATCTGGATGCATTTTGTACTGATTGTTGTACATGCAAGATTTTAATTGTAGAGGTGACTGAGTGATGACACAGAGCTAATGCCATTGAAGGAAATTTTCTATAATTTTTATTTCCTAAGAGAAGGGAAAACGCCATGTCATTAGAGGGCCACCTGGGGAAACACTAGAGGAGGTAGAGGCAAGAACAAGCAGAAAGCATAGACCACAGACTTAATCGTGTTTTCACCAGGCAAGACATGGCAAAGAAGGGGAAACAGCTTAGGATTGGTGGGCTTTGGGCTACAACTGCTATCGCTAGTTGCCTGAAATCCAGCACAGGGTTGACTCAGGGCAGAAGAAATATTGGCCTGGTGTGTGAAAGTTAGATAAAGGAAGTGGTTTAGAGTATGGGCCCCATGGGTTAGTTTGCATATGAGAGACATGCTCCTAGGAAAGCCCTTTGCAAGTTCTAAGAATAGGCTAGCCTTGGGAGGAGCCATCTCTCCCCAGACAGCAAGGCCACAAGTGCCAGAGCATCAAGAATGCAGACAATTAAAAAAAAAAAAAGTTAATACAATTGCCATGTGATGAATGAATGCCAAATACATAAATACAGATTCTCAGAAAACACAGAACAATTTTACCTATTTGTCTTGCCTTATGCATGAGCTAGAATGTCCATCACAATGAATGGGGGCAGTGAGAGCAGACCTCTTTGCCTTACTCCTGATCTTGGGGGGAAGAGAGGAGCAGGGTGAGGTGCCATGGACGGGGAAGGGACTGGAACAGTGACAGATGTGGCCAATGAAGAAGGGAGAACAGAAACTTAGTAGAACTTGGAGGAAGATCTAAGGCCGTATTCTCAAATTGTGATCCACAGCTCATAGTCCTCACTCTGTCCCTGCTTCTGATCACACTCCTGACCCCTCCCCCACAGCCACCCCCTGGGCTAAAAAGCTGCATTTAGGCTCTGCCCATCCAGGACAGGGAGGATGCTACCAGGACAGGGAGGATGAACAAACACAAAGACCACACACCATCTGTGAGCAGAAATCATGTCTCCTAATTTCAAGTCTCATAGGGATCCCACTGGGGCCAGGGGCTTGAACATGGCATGGAATGTGCAGCTTGCATCTAGGGAGATCGTATATGGGAGAGGCAGGGCCTGAGGCACCCGGGCGACAGGTACTCTGCCAAAGTGACCCAGAGCCTGTTGAGTAAACATGCCACGCTGCCCAACAGAAGGGGCTGGGGCACCCCCTAGTGGGGTCCAGCCCCCTCCTTGGGTGACCTGGCAAAGAAGAGACTGTCCAGCCAGGTTCCACAGCCAGGGAGGTAAGGTGGGGATAAAATTCAGGTGTCACCCCTCAGACAGGGCAGGCCACCCTCTAGAGGAACTGCCAAAAAGGCAGTCGGTCCCTTGTCCTCTCTTCTGTCCACCTTTCCAGCTGTCACCATTCACCCAAATGTCTTTCACAGCCCAGTGGACTCCATGACATTAAGGCTGCTTCCTGATGGTGCCTCAGTTTCCTGATGGTGAAAATAGAAAAACAACAAATCCACCACCCAATGTTGTAGGGCTGAAAATGAGGCAAATTTAGGGCCTGGCTCAGAGAAGGGGATTCCATGAAAATGCAGAACCTGTCTCCTGGGGCCTAGGAGGAAGTACAAGAAATGCAGACACAGGGACAGGGCAGGGGCTGCCTGGAAGGCCCTGGGAGCAGCGTGGGGGAAAATTAGGACTGAGGAAGCAACTGAGAAAGGAAGCTGGTCTTCTTGCTTCGGCCTCCAGAAGATGGGGCCACTTCCTGTGATGAAATCATGTTCTCCAATCCCCACCATCTACTGAGTAAGCCAATGCCAACCTCATTCTGGGGAGGGAGGGAGCTGAGCCTCCTAAAACCAGCACAGAGAGTCACCAATGGTCTCAGCCCCAATATCTCGTCCCCACCCACCAGCAGTCACAGGCTGGCAGTGCCCTCGATTGGAGACGGTCCAGGGACCGTCCGGAGGGTGACTCATTACTGTTCTGGGCCTTATTTCCCCCCTGCTCAAGGAAGGCTTCCAATTAGCCAGGGCTCTCACAGCTGTGGAGGGAATGACCTAAGGAGCATTATAAAAATACAGCCTCCTGGGGCTTACCCCCCAGAAGGGAGCCGAGGCCCAAGGTTGTGTGGTGCAACTTGGTGGGAGCATCCAGAAGGAGCAGAAGGCTCTGTGGACTCAGCGAGACTGGAGTTTGAGTCCTGGACCTGCCTCGAAAGTCACGTGACCTGAGGCAGGGCTTCTCTGAGCCCTTGGTCTCCTCATCTGTGGAGTGGAGGACAGAGGGGTCTGCCGATCAAGTCTTGCCTCCTGTGGGTCGAGGCATGGGCTCCAGAAGGCCCACCCTCACCTCTTAACCCCAGGGATGGTGTGAGACTGCACAAAAGGAGCTGACCAGGGGAAGGAAGGAGCCTGGTAGGCCTGGGTCCTGGGCAGGGGAACCCCTGCTGGGAGGGAGAGCGTCCAGGTGCAAGTTGGGTGTCCTTGGTGCATGGTGCTGGGGTCGAGGCCATTTGATCACCAGTGGGTCCCTCCTCCTTCCTCTGGGGAGGTGTTAGCTGGGCAGAGACTCATGGCTGCCTGTCCTCTGGCTGGAAAAGCCAAAGCTGGTCCTGCTGCAGCCCCTTCACCTGGACGACAAAAAGAGGCCAGGAGATGCCGAGAGCCAGTGAGAAGGAGAGCTGGAGAGACAGAGACTGACTCCTGAGGAGAGGTGGCCAGGAGCTGAGATGGAAGAGGCAAGGCCACAGATAGCCAAGGTCAGAACCATGGCCCTCCATGTGAAGAAAGAAGTTGGGGGCCTTTCTCACGGCTCTCTGTGCACTGACCACAAGGGAGGCGCTTTTGCAATGTAGAAAAAGAAGAAACCAGATTGATAAAGGAAGTGCTGGGTACTCCGGGGGCCCGCGAGTTTGGGGAAGCTCACCCTCCCTTGCTCTTCCGAAGGAACCTGATCCACGCTTTCCACGTTCCTCTGGACTCCCCGAGGAGGCACCTCTGTAGGGCCTGCCCTCTGGCCTTGACAGAGCTGCTTGGCTTCTCCTCTCCTGGGAGGAGAGTGAGACCATGGGTCCGTCCCTGCTGCTGTCCCTGCTGCTGCTGCCGGCATCTCTGCAGGCTGGTGAGTGTCCAGGACACCCTGGCTCTGCCCCGAGGGCCAGGAGTCCCCAGGAAGGGCTGTGGCTGGGCAGCTGGAGAAGGGGTCTGCTGGGGTAGCCGGCCAGGCCTCCCAGCTCCAGCGGGCTGCTCCCATGGTGCCAGGTCCTCCCCAACCCTTCACCCTCCTCCCTACCCCAAGCCCGGCAAGGGGGACACCCAGGCCAGAGGGCCAGTCCTGCCATCTGTCACACTTGGTGTGCTCTGTGAGTGAGGGTGCCAGAAGGTCTGGGGTTATCGTCCTCATCTCTCCCAGTGGCTCAAAGTCTCTCCTGTCTCTCCTCCAGGCAGCTCAAAAGCATGCAATCCAAACACTGACTTTGGGATCAACCAACCAGCGTCTCTCTCAGCCCCCGAGGGTGGTTCCACCTGCATCTCTTTCTCCTACTTCCACTGCTGGGAGTTAGCCAAGGATCCCAGACTGAGTATAGCCGTCAGACGGAGAGACTTCCATGGAGAGGTCATCTACAACAGCACTCAGCGTTTTATCCATGAGGATTACAAGAACCGGATCTCCCTGGACTTGAGAGAGGGTCAGAACTCTGGCACCCTGCGTATATGGAACCTGCGGAAAGAAGATGAGAATAGGTACTTTTGCCGGGTCCAAGTGGAAACGCTAAGAGACGGCAAACAGGTGTGGCAGTCCATCCCAGGGACCAAACTCACCATTACCGACGGTGAGTCCAGCTGCCCGGCAGCCACCACACCCACCCTGCAGGGTGCCCTCATCCCCCAGGCCTGGCCCAGGCCCCAATCTTCCTGCTCACCCCTTCTCTCAAACTCCTCTCCCCACCCCTCTCCCCTCCCCAGGCCTCTGCCAACTTTACTCTTTCTCCTGGATCTCCCCAAACCTGGGCTGCCTTCCTTGCCCATCCCCCTCACTGCCCCCTCCGGAGCCAGTCCCCACCCCGCTCCCCCAGCCTCAGCACCTTCCAGGCTGCCCAGGAATCCTCCCTTCTTGCTTCAAGCTGGGCCTCCAGTCTTGCCTCCCTCCCCTCACCCCACGCTGTCCAGGTGGACTTGACTTCTTCAGGGCGTGGTCTGCCTTCCCTTTGTCCTGTGTCCCTGTGAGTAGCCCCTGCCAGCCCCCAGTCTTGTGTCTCCCGACAGTCGCGGGCTCAACCCAGCACACACAGCAGGTACCCAATCATGACCCAAGACCCCTGTCCCCTGGCCACGCCCCATTACCTCTTTTCCCAGTCCCCCCTGCGTCCTTCTCCTGCTCTGCTCCTCGGAACCTGGCCCACGACGCTCCCTGCCCCAGCCCCTTCCCTCCTCTCCTTTTCCATCCCTCTCTTCCCCTCCTCTTTACCCTCCTTGCCTCCCCCCACCCCTGGTCCCCACCTCTGCCTGCACCGTCCCCATTGTCCACTCAGATCTTGCTCCTCCATCCTGGCCTTTGAGACATGCCATCTACAGCAGAAATATGGCGGCTGCCGCTTACCATGCACTGTGTCAGGTTGAACAACTAGGTGTACGTCACCCTGGTTAACAACCTTCCCCGCGACCCCACAGTAACAGTAGGCACTGCTCTTATCTTCCTGTTACAGATAGGGAAACTGAGGCCCAAAGAGCCTAAACGCCTGCCCAGAGCCACACTCATGGCGCAGGCAGGACTCGAACCCCGTTTCACCCCCGAGCCTCCACTCTTAACCTAGTAGCTGCTCAGCTTCACAGCTGACCTGATCCTATTGTTGTCTTCACCTATTTTAACCCAGGAACGGGATGTGTTACAGCAGCAGATCTTCCCATGTTACCCAGCAGGCCTTGGAAACTTGAACCTAGGTTTGTCGGTCTCCAGAGCGGTTGGGGAGGGAGCCCTTCCCAGGAGCAGGCACTAGGGGATGCACTGTCTGTAGAATATTATCTGTAGAAATATTCCTTAAAAACTAAAAACCCCAGGTCTGCTCTTTATAATCACTTGCACTGACAATTCTAACAACGTATCACTGCTCCTGTGTGGAAGGACACTCTCTGTGCCCCCACCCTTGGTAAACCACTGTCCCATCTGGCCACCGTGCTGGTTTCAGAGCAAATAGAAAGTGGCTCACAACCTGAATTTAGCAAGACAGCGTTGGATTTCTATTTCTGGCACCTCCTCCATATTGCCTTAAATGGCCTTTTTTGAGAGGTTTCCCTCTCCCCAGACCCCTCGTCCTCCTTCCCTGATCCTCCTAACTTTTCTCATTTCTCAGTTCGGTCACATTTACTATGAATTTTTCATCAATAAATTAATTTTTCTTTAAAAAAAATTTTTTTAATGTTTATTTCGTTTTGAGAGAGAGCGTAAGCAGGGGAGGGGCAGAGAGAGAGGGAAACACAGAATCTGAAGCAGGCTGCAGGCTGTGAGCTGTCAGCACAGAGCCCCATATGGGGCTCGAACTCATGAACCGTGAGATCATGACCTGAACCAAAGTCGGAAGGTTAACCGACTGAGCCACCCAGGCACCCCAATAAAATAATTTTTCAATTAATACAATTAATTGGATATTCATGCTCATATTAAAAAATATAGGAAAGTAATAAAAAGAAATGTGTTTTTAATGTTTATTTATTTATTTTGAGATAAAGAGTGTGAGCCGGGAAGGGGCGGAGAGAAGGAGAAAGAGAACCCTGAGCAAGTTCCACACTCAGCATGGAGTCCGACATGGCGCTTGATCTCAGGACCGACAATGACATCCTGACCTGAGCTGAAATTAAGAGTGTGAGGCTTAAGTGACTGAGTCACCCAATGCCCCCAGTTATGCCTTTTTAAAAAAGGCTGCAGGACGTCTCCTTGTGGTAATGTATCAAAATGTACTTATTCAGTTTCCTATTTAAAGACATTTAGGTTGGGGGCGCCTGGGTGGCTCAGTCGGTTAAGCGGCCGGCTTCAGCTCAGGTCATGATCTCGAGGTCTGTGAGTTTGAGCCCCGCGTCGGGCTCTGTGCTGACAGCTCAGAGCCTGGAGCCTGTTTCAGATTCTGTGTCTCCCTCTCTCTGCCCCTCCCCCGTTCATGCTCTGTCTCTCTCTGTCTCAAAAATAAATAAACGTTAAAAAAAATTTTTTTTTTTTTTAATAAAAAATAAAAAAACAAATAAAGACATTTAGGTTGGGGGTGCCTGGGTGGCTCAGCCAGGTGAGGGCCCAACTTCGGATCAGGCCATGATCTCAGGGTTCGTGGGTTTGAGCCCTGTGTCAGGCTGTGTTCTGACAGTGTGGAGCCTGTTTGGGATTCTCTTCCTCTCCCTCACTCTCTGCCCCTCCCCCACTCACACCTTTTCTCTCTCTCTCTCTCTCTCTCTCTCTCAAAAATAAATTAAGTTTAAAAAAAAAAAGACATTTAGGTTGTTGACACAACACAAAGCTGCAAAGAACACCCTTAAACACAGGCCTTTGAAGACTTGTCCAGTATTTCCACAGGATAAATTCCTAGCACTGAAATTACTGGGTCAAAGGGCATGCCTGGGCATTTTGCATTTTGATAGATATTCCCAAATGCAATGCCAACCTATCCATATTCCTGTAGTGCCAATACTGTGTGGGTCCCTCTACTTGGATAAGTAAAAACAAGCAAGTAAACAACACCCCCAATGGCTTATTTTAATCTGCATTTTTAAAAAGTATTGAGAATAACCTCAGCATTCTCATATTACAAGATTTAGATTTGCAAAGTGACATAGGATTGCAAAATTTGGGGCACCAGGGTGGCTCAGCTGGTTGAGCTTCCAAATTTTGATTTGGATTTAGGTCACGATCCCAGGGTCTTGGGATCTAGCCCTGCGTTGAGCCCCATATCAGACTTCATGCTGAGTGTGGAACCTGCTTAAGAGTTTCTCTCTCTCTCTCTCTCTCCCTCTCTCTCTCTCTCTCTCTTCTCTCTCTCTCTCTCTCTCTCTTTCTCTCTCTCTCTCCCTCTGCCCCTCCCACCCCTAAAATAAAAAAACTTTTAATTAAAAAAAAGAGGACAGGGGCGCCTGGGTGGCGCAGTCGGTTAAGCGTCCGACTTCAGCCAGGTCACGATCTCGCGGTCCGGGAGTTCGAGCCCCGCGTCAGGCTCTGGGCTGATGGCTCAGAGCCTGGAGCCTGTTTCCGATTCTGTGTCTCCCTCTCTCTCTGCCCCTCCCCCGTTCATGCTCTGTCTCTCTCTATCCCAAAAATAAATAAACGTTGAAAAAAAAATTTTTTTTAATAAAAAAAAGAGGACAGGGCTAGAGTCATTAATTATTTACACCCCAATACCCTCCAATACTGATTTGAAATTCCTCTAGAGAAAGATTTCAGTGAGAGGAGATTAGTCCTATCAGATATTAAAGCACAGAGGTGAGCAGCATAGAATCTAGACTGCCTGCACTCAAATCCTGGCTGGGGAAACTCTGGTGCAGTGGTTGTATTACTCTGTGCCTCAACTTACTCATCAGTAAAATGACAATAATAATAGTACTCACCCTGGGGGTTGTTATGACAATTAAATGTAATTCATTGAGAACAGATCCTGGCACAGAATAAGGACTATGTGAGCACTAGCACTTGTAATTATTAAGCTGCAATAATTAAAATGATTCGATGTTGTCATATTCATACACAGATAAACCAATGTATTAAAAGAGAAAAGCCCAAATATAGGCAGGACAAAATAGGTCAAAATATATTCAGGAATTTATTAGGTTAAAAACTGGCATTTCTAATCAATGGGGAAAGATGAGTAATTCAATACATGGTGATGGAACAATTGAGCAGCCATCTGAGAAAATGTTATCTCATAATTTGCACCAAAATAAATTCCATGGAGATCAATCAAAGAGTTAAATGGGGGGTGGACGGCATGGGGGGGAGGGGAAGAACCCTAGCATCAGAATAAAGCACGTGAGACTATTTTATAACCATGGAGTAGAGGTGATCTCCCTAAATATAACATAAAACCTAAGAGCCATGAATAAAAATATTGATAAACTCAAATATATACAAATTGTTTTTAATTCTGCAGAGGAAAAAATCACAGTGGTTGTCTCTAGAGTGAGGATGAGGGTTGGAGATGAAGAAAAACATGACATAGTCACTGAGGATATAGAAGACAGTATTTAAGGATTCAACTCAGATGAGAAGCCATAAACTCTGTAAAGGCATCGCCTCATGTTTTTCCTCATGCAGGTTAGAACCCTCTGGGACTTGTTCATTAGGAGTTACGTTCACCTCCTGGCACCAGAGACCAAAAGTAACAGGGCTTAAATAAGACTGAGTTTATTGTTTTCCCTCATATAAAAGGATGAGGAAGCAGATAGCAGAGGACACTGTCCTTAGGCACTCAGGCTTCTATCTTCCTGCTCACTGTTACGGCTACTGGCTTTTATCCTGAAGGTTGCCTCATGATCCAAGATGGCTGCTCAGACTCCAGCCATTATTTCTGAATCCAGACAGGAAACAGGAGGAAGGAAGAAAGGAAAAAAAAAAAAAAAAAAGACTATGCCACAGCTGTCTGTCCTCATTTTAAAGAGTCTTCCTGAAAACCCTACCCACAACTTCCCCTTGAATCTTACTGGCTAGGATGTACTATGTCCCACATCTATCAGTAGGGCAGCACACTGCCACCCCAAATAAAATCAAGGTTCTGTAGCTGAATAAGAAGAAATGAATGGATATTAGGTAAGCTAATAGCATTCTCTGCCATCAGCCACATCCAGAATTAGAGCTGTGTCAGCTAAGTGTGGCATAAGGACAGAGGAACACAGGCGGTCAAGGAGCTAGTGAAAGGGCAGGAGTAGAGAGTAGAGGATGAGCAGGGAGCTTGGACAGCCCAAAAGAAAGTGGATTATTAAGGGACAAGAGTTCAGGGGGTCAAAACACAGATATACCAAACAGGCTGATGATAAAAGAGAGCTGGAAGGAAAGAAAGTTGTAGCATAAAAATGATCCTGGCACTTAATATTTCAGAGTTCTCAATCCCAGGGATAAAAAGGAGTCCAGGGTATGGCTGAGTGGAGTGGAGGTCACTAGAGTTGGGGAGACATAGGAGTCCCGTGTGTTCAGAGGGCTGTCCCTGTCGATGATGGGACCTCCCAGGATAGTGTTGGGTGGCGGAGGGGATGTCTGTGAACCAGGGGCTGATCCTTGGGAAACGCTGTAGACAGACTCAGAAGGACAGGAGGGGAGATGGTGGCAGGGGGACATCAGAGGTTTCAGTGGCAGAGGATGGAGAGGAACTGGCTGCAGCACAGACACCCATTCCAGCCCTGAGGTTCGGCAGGGGGAGGGAGGGAGGGGAAACAGCCGCCACTCCCCTTCCGCTGTCTACCGCCTTTTCCTTCTTTCTCCCCCAGGATGAAGTGCAGGATGACAGCAGCATCCTCTATGCCTCCTTCACCCTCTCCAGCTCCTCCCTGCACCCCTCCCAAGGAGAGCCCGCAGGAGACCTTGTACTCTATCGGAAAGGCCCAGTGTGAGCAGGACTGAATGGGGACTCCCTGAGACTAAGCTGCACGGAGGGTCACAGCTTCTAGTAATAACCCTGGCCAGACACAGACAAAAGCCAGTGGGTGTGGAAGGCCACCAAGGACCAGAAAGAAACAGAGCCATCTGCTTCCATTCCCTCTTCAACTGCCCAGCCCTTGCCCACAAAAATAAAAGTACTAGTAGAATTTGCCTGAAGGCACCTAAGGAGAAACTGATGGCATCTTCTGTCTTTTCCTTCTCGCCAAAAATGAGCTGTGAAAGTAGCTCACACCCAAGATCCCTCCTCCAGGGCTGGTGTTCAGTGACTGCCTTCAGGCCAGGTGGGGGACACCAAACACTGGCAGCCAGCCCAGAGCCCAGACTCTGCCCCCTTATCTAACCATTCTACTTCTGCTACCATAACATGTACCGCGTTAAGTGCATCACTCATGTAAGCATCACCAACAACCTTATACAGTCCTGGATGCACTCACCGGAGGCGTGAAGAGAAGACCCAGAATGGTTAGTGCTTTTCTCAAGGCCACACACCTAGTAAGTGGCTGAGCCAGGTCTGAACCCAGACCTGCCCTTCTCGACGGCCTCCTCCCAGGACTTGGGTCTCACTGCCTTCCCAGATCCCTGTACTGTGCCGGCCTCCCACCAGAAACAAGGACATGCCACAGGGACCGGGGGGGGGGGGGGGGGGCATGGGGAGAGAAGCCAAGGGAAGCATGTGGTTAGAGACGAATGGAACCACTTAAGCCGGTAACCTGTTTTATTAACACATAAACTGCAGAGCCGTGACTTTAGCCAATTGGCCTGTAGCCGAGGAACAAACCCCACACTTAGTAGCTTCTCAGGGACCCTCTGAGGGGCTCTCTCTGCTGCTCCTGTGGAAGCGGGTGAGGCAGGAGCACACAGCTATTCCTCAAAGAAGGTCGTGGTGAACTCCCCAGGGTCATCTCCACACTGTGGCTCCTCCAGCTGCTCCGGCTCTTCTCCAACATCTTCCAGGAGTTGCTCCAGGTCCAGGTCACTGGAGGCTTCATTGTCATGGGGGACACTTCCAGCCTCCTGAGAACACTTTGAGCCTTCTTTCCCCACCATGGGACAGGCCCCAAGATGGGCTGGTGGGGGCAGGCCCTTTGGCTGCATCCTGGCTTATTTGTCCTCAGACAGGCTGCTTCCTGCAGCCTTGCTTTGGGGAGCTTCCCGTTATTTAGCTTGTTCTGTTTTTCTCCCTCCTACAGCTTTGATCCATCAACTCCCATACCACCCTGGGATCCCGGCCCCAAAGCCCTCTGGCAAGACACCTGGAGCTTCATATAGGAAGAGGTGAACAGGAGGGCTCTGAGTGGCACCCCTTTGTTCGCAGAGTGCACAGGATACTGGAACTTCTCCAGAGAATAGGCAGAGACAGACCCTGAAGTCCTGGGCAAGGAGTCAGAGCTGAGAAAAATAGCATGTGTCTATTACATGGCATTTGTAGGCATAACACAAGCTCTGGAGCATTCAGAGAAGTTTTTTTGTTTTTTTGTTTTTTCCTTAGTTTCTGCTCTCAAAGGGCACAATGAGGAGAGGACATTTCCAGAAAAAATTATCAACACTGGGTATATCTAATGTTAAGTGAATAATACAGAGAATGCACTGCAAGAGTTTAAAGAAGAGCTGGAAAAATCAGGGGAGGTTTTTCTGTAGATGAGCTGAGTTGAGCCTGGATCGATGGATGGTACAGAACAGAGGGAGGCCAGCAGGAATAGAGCAGGATCAAAGGGCTGCAGGAGAGAAGGAGTAGAGGAGTCTGGAAGGAAGCAGGCAGTCCTGCCAAACTGGAGCAGGGAAAGTTTGTCTCAGAGATGACTGGACGAGAAAGTGTGCGATATGGAGCCACTGAATATTTGCAAGTACAAGTATCTAATCATATGGGTCAAGTTTTCCTAAGAATTTCCACAAGAGAGTTCAGCAGCGGATCTGGCTTGAATTCAGCACTCAGATTTCTCCCCAGGGTCTATTTCTCATAACTGCTCATTTCTGCCCCCTACAGTTCAGCTTCATTCTCAGCCTCCACTTGGCCCCAGAGCCATGGGCTCTTCCCACAGAGCGGCAAATGACCTATCCTCTCAGGTCAGTGTGGTGTTTTTGTTTTTTGTTTTTTAAGTTTTTGTTTAAATTCCAGTTAGTGAACATACAGTGTAGCATTAGCTTCAGTGTAGCATCACTTCATATAGTGATGTATGTAAATATAGTGATTCCACACTTCCATACATCTCCCATGTCAGTCTTTCAGGAAAGAACTTGACTTTTCTTTTCCACTAGCTCCAGCAAAACCCCTAAGATGACCAAGCCTGGACTAGCTTAGGTGACCTGCCCATTGTGGAGACAGTCAGTGTGGCCAAAGAGATGTGTTGGCTCTAGATGACCAGACCAGAATCATGGGCAAGAGTACCATGTTACGGAAAGTAAGTCGGGACTGGAATTTTTATGTGTACAAGTTGAAAGTGCATAGTTCTCTATAACCCCCATCCCCTCCTTTTCATCCCCCTCATAGCCCTGAAGCTATTGGATCTACACTCCACATATCAGATGGGGCCATGGAGATCACTCAGGGCACAGTGCTGCATTGGTGAGCACACAGCTGGCCCCTACACTCCCTCTGCACACCAGTGGCCTCCCCGCATTCTGTGGCCCAGAAGGTGGGGAACCTGGCCAGGGGCCCCCACACCATGATAGTTCTGAGGCTGGGTGCCCACATCGCCACCTTCACTTCATTTATCTTTATCTGATGACTGGCAGGGATCTGGGCAGCTGTGGCTGCACCGTTGGCCTGGGAACTGTGCACTCTTGTGGTCATCAAACTGGTCCAACACCAACTACGAGTCTATGTATGGCAGGTACTGGTTCACCCTCTAGGTTAACCAGCTCCTCTGAGCTGCCTTTGGTGACCTCCACCTAGCCTTTGTGGATGCCTGGAAAATAACCGTCAGTCTGGCCCTGCCGCCACAGCATCCACCCAGGGTGTCTCATCATCTGCAACAAGGTAGACTTGCTCCTCTCCTTCATCTGCGCCACCCCGAGTGTTTCTGTGGGTTCTGACACTGTGTGGATGGAGGGCCTGGGGCACAGCTGTAAAGAGGGCCACAGCCAGAACAGCATTTCTGGGAGAAGAGCAGGTGCCACTAACTTCTCTTGCCCGAAAGACTACAGTAGTTTCCTAACCAGTCCAGCTGATTCTATTCTTGCCCTACTCTGACCACTTCTCCACTCAGAGTAGAACTTTAGAATTAGTAGAGCAAGAGTAGTTACTTTAAAACATAAATGAGGCCAAGTCATTAGCCTGCTCAAAAGCCAAAGGCTTCTCTCTCAGTATAAATCCAAACCCTTAACCATGGTCCATGATGGCCTGGCCTAATTCTTTGTCCTCATTTGTTGCCACTCTTCCTTGGCACTCTACATTCTAACCCCATAGTCTTGCTACTCAAGCAGGTCAAGCTGTCCTGCCTCAGGACCTTTATACCTGCTGTTCCTGTGCCTGGAATGCACAACTGCCAGATCCTCATATGGTTGGCTTTCTTCTCATTTGGTTCCCTGATCAAACATCATCTCCTCAGAGGCTCTTCCTGATGACCTTAAATAAAAGAGGTCATTTTCCCATCTTGGCACTCCATGCCCTTTGCCCTCCTTTTCTTTCATGTCACTATTCACAATCTGTAATTATTTGGTTTACTATTATTGTTGTTTACTTGTCTTTGTCTCTAGAATGTAATCTCCATAAGGGACAGGGAGTTTGTCTAGCTTGCTCACTGTTGCATCCCCATGACCTAGGGCAGTGTTTGAAACATTGCAGGTTGTTAAATATTCCTTGAACAGATGGATGATAATCACATGACTAAGGTGTTACTTATATGCCCTGCACCTTCACAGCAAATCTCTATCTTATGAGAAATAAGCAATTGGCCAAAGTGTCCCCCTGCTGCAGCTGCTAACTACCAAATTTCAGGATTGTCATTATTAATGATTCGCATTTACATGAGGGCCGTACGATTTTCCATACAGTTTTCTATTTTTATTTTGGACGACTCTCCCAAGAACACTCTCCCATTTTACGGAGGCCCAAAGAGGTGGCACACGGCTGAGTCAGTGCTTGGTCCTAGTTTGGTTGCAGTGATATCGGTGACTGTCCTTGCTGGAAAACCAGCTTCTTGCGACAGCTGGAAGCCATCACCCCTGATTCCTCCGACTCAGCCGACTGGGTCCTCTGTTCTCCTGGACGTCAGTTCGGTGGTTGAGGGGCTTCCCTGACCACCCTAAAGGGGGCTCCGTGACCAGGCACAACCACGTCCGCTGTGCCTAGGACCCTCTTCCGGCTCCGCTCCTGGGCCACCGGGTCTTCGCTCAGCGCTTGCCACGAGTCTTCGTCTCCACTGCGTTCAAACACATCGCCCGCCACCACCACGGTGCCCAAGACCGTGCCCGCCACCACTACGCTCACGTCCCGCTGGCCCCCATGGCCCGGCGTGGCCCACACCTCGAGCCCCGGCCCCAGCCGCAGGGGCCGCTCCTCACCTAGCCCGTGGGGGAAGTAGCGGCCCCCGGGGAGGCAGAAGTCGTGAGAGACCAGCAGAGCCGCCCCGGGAAACAGCCCCAAGTTCCCGATGTGATCCGAGTGTCCATGGGTGCCCACCACCAGAGTCACGTCTCCGGGGGCCACGCCCTGCCGCGCCAGGGCCCCCAGGAGTGTGTCCCGCGCCCAAGGGCCCCCGGTGTCTACGAGGATGGGACCACGGGCCGCCTCCTCCAGGGCGGTCTTCGCCCCGCCGCCCTCGGGCGGGGACTCTCGGTGGCTGGAAGCCGGGCCCCAGGCCTGAGGCAGCACCAAGGTCACGGAGCCGTCGGCGCGCACCGCGTCGCCCACACCCTCGGGCTCCGCATAGCCCTGCAGAAGGACCACCACCGAGTAGGGGTCGCCGCGCACCAGCAGAGGCGGCTCCCCGAGCAGCGGCTCGGTCTGCACTAGACCGCTCATGGCAGAAAGACGGCTGGGGAAGGAAAGTGGGGCTATGGGGGACTGTCCAGTCCCTTCGGGTTCCCACACGCGCCTGCCTCCGCCGCGTGGCACCTTCCAAGTCTCAGTTCTTTGCCACCCCCCCTCGCACCCTTAAGGTGGTATCGCCCCAACCCCCTCCCGTAGATGGTATCGTCCAATCATCCCTTAGGGTGAGCTCTCCTGCCAGTCCCTCAGTGTCTTCCGCCGTCGCCACGCTCCTATGCGGTAGGTCCCCACCCATCACTCCCCTAAGGATATCCTCTTTATTCCCCTCATTCTAACCGGAGCCGTTCCCTGTCTTGGACTTAGTTTCACCGCTTCTCTTGCCTCTCCGTGGGGACACCGGCCCTCGGAAAAGCGTGAGGGATTTTGTCCCCAGCGAGTTCCCGTAAGCCCAGAGTATGGTGGCCGACGCGCGCTCCCGCACCCTGATTTTGAATTCCAGGGTATTCTCCCGCAGGCGCCGAGAGGGGCCGCACAGATCCTAGCCTAAGTAGTTATCAGCCGGGGACCCCTGCTAGTCTCCCTGAACTGCAAATTACAAAACACTACTAGCTTCTAACAGACGGCGACCAACGGCTTATTCTGTGGGCGCTGCCGTATCGGCTAGCTATGTTGTTTGCAGGTCAGTTGTTTGAAACTACAGGCTCAGCTGGTATTTTTAAAAAATTTACTAGCGATATAGAAAACTTGGCACCTGTGAAATCCCATGGTGGGCCCTCGGTGAAATTAATATGAAGTAGACCAAATATCTACCCCAGTTATCAACATCACCCCATCCTGTTACAGTGTCCCCGTCGTGTTAAATTTGTTGGCTTGTAGCCTCCTAGATGCAGGCAGCGTGTGTATCGGTCGTAGAGAATGTCCGCGCTGGCTTCTTCCTCGGAAGGGTCTAAAAACAGACCCCCGAGGGGCGAAGTGACTTTCCTAAGGCCCACAGCTCCAATGCCTTCATTGACCTCTGGGTGCGGTGGGGAGTAGGAGAGATATTTAAAGGGGAAAGCCTTCAATACTGTCCCTCCACACACCTGACAGTTAAGGGGCTAGATGGCAGGCAGAGGGCTGATCTGTTGGGGCAGGCCTTCCACCTACTGCTCCCACCTTTGTCCCCGTAGCCATGCCATGCTGCACCACCAGGATCCTGCCTGAGACCAGATAGGAGAGAACAGTTACAAGCCTTGGGGTGGGATCCCTCGCACATACACACAAACCCTTATGTGGGGCAGGGAAGGGATTGCTCAGACTTCAGAGGATTCTTCTCTAGGACCCCTGCCCCTCCTGAGGACTCAAACAAAAGCAGGGGTCAAAGATCCTCTGGGTCACGCTTGGGGTGCCCTGGTGTGTTAGTCATCCCTTCCTCTTCCTCCTCATCTTGCTCCTCCTCCTCTTCTGTCTTCTCTTGCCCATCTGTGATCTTTTCCTTTCCAGTCCAAGTTTCCTGTAGACACGCTAGGTTAGGTGATAGAAAACAATGTAGGTATTAGTCCTGGGAGGTTGTGGTCTGGCAGGAAGGGGGCCAGTCCCACACACTTACCAGTTTCAGCAGCAGGGAGCACATGACCTTCACAGAGAAAATGCTGTAGGGGCTGCTCCTGATGGTGGAAGTACCAGTCTCCCACAACATCTTCAAACTCCTCCAGCATTGTCTCACACTGATCAAATGGAAGGGTCAGAAGGAACTATGCTCTGCTGGGCTTTGGAAACCCTCCTCTCTACTCTTCACTCCCTTTCTCCCCACCCTACCTTGAAGAGGCAGGTAGCCAGGAGGCTAAACTCTGCTTACTAGCTGTGTGGTCCTCATTCATTCATCAAACATTTACTAGTACCTGTTCTACCAAGTAGACTATTAAACTCTATGTCTCAGGCTTCTTGCCTATAAAATGGGAAATGGTAATAGTACCTACCGTGTGAGGGTGCTTTGAGAGGAAAATGAGGCAGCAGCTGGAAAGTATGGGAGCCTGAATCTGACACATAGTAGGTGCTCAGTAAGTGGTAGTAGATATTATTAGCCTCTACTATTACTCCTTGATATGCTCCTGGGCCCACTTCAATCAATGATAGAGTCCTCACTCTGCCCCCTTCTCTCTGCTCAGAGGTAGACCTCCCTAGGATCTAATTCTCCCCTCAGGCTCCCTTCTCATTGCCCTGGCAGTGCATTACCCCATCCTACCTGCTTCTTGAGGAATGTGACTTCCACGCTGGGCTCGTCCCACAGCTCCAGAGGGATCCCCAGATCCACCTTCACCCCCTTCTGCACCAGACCTTTCAGTGTTGCCATGGTCTGACTCTGACCCTGAAAGATAGGAATCTAGAATCAGCCGAGCCCCCTGCCCCACCTCTTTTTTCCCCTTTCTGCCATATCAGCACTGTCAATTACTGGAGACCCAGGGGTGAGCTCCATGAGGGTGAGATGAGGGAGTCTAACAATGGGGTGGTGACACTCTCCAGAGCTGGAGGGAGATGGGTCCCAGGGGATATCCATTGTTGTTTCTGAAAAGTGGAATGCTGCCCTAGGGAAGGGCCTGACCTTGGCATATCTCAGTGAGCCCTTGCGCTCAGCGTGAACACTGTAATCCAGGATCCGCTCACACAAATTCTCCAAGGCCTCTTCCAGCCTTGTCTCTCTGTGGGAAGAGGGGAAACAAAGACTCCTTGGATGCTGTAGGCACTCCCAGGGCTCCCTCAGGGGTTGGAAGGTAAGGGAGCACCAAAAAGAACTCACGAAACACTGTAAGGGACATGTCTCTTCCTCTTGCCCGTGTCCAGCACCTGCCCCAGCTCCAGCACCTCTCGAGATCGGCCAGTGCGACTCAGCTCTTCCTGTAGCTCCAGGCTTAGCAGCTTACACACTAGATGTCCAAAAGGATGTGAAAGACAAACAAACATACCAGCAACTCATTCTGTAGATGAGCAAAAGCAGCAGAACGTGACGGTTACAAGTGCAGACCGTGGAGCCAGACTGGCATGGTTACAATACTGACTCAGCCACTTAATAGCTATGTGACAATTCCACTGTGCCCTGGCTTCTTCATCTCTAAAATGGAGATAATAATATAATAGGACCTCCTGTGGAGGGGGGTTGTGAGGATTAAATAGATCAATCTACATAAAGCCCCTAGGATAGTGCCTGGCATATAGTGAGCACTGTATGTGTTTGCTTTTATTCTGCAGTTATTTATTGAGCTCCTATATGTACAACAGCAACATAGCAATAAGACCCATGATCCCATCCACAAGACATTGCTGATGCAGTTGGGGACAAATAAAATGATGACAGTGTGCTGTGATGGGCCCTGCACTAGAGGTTAACAGATTTAATTAATCTCATTAGGAAATGCAAAATTCATGAAATTGTCATGTGTTGACTTCCTACCGGCTTGTGATTTCCTTAAGGATGAGCGTTGTGTATGTTCCACCACTGTCTTCCAGCAAATAGCACCTGGCCTGGCATGAGGTGGGTCCCAAAAAAAGGGAGTGGCCTATACAGAAGTGCCATGCAAACTAAACACAGGGCAGGTAACAAAAGTGCCTAAAATGTTCCAGACACTACGCTAGGACCTCAGAGACAGGTACTCTCCTTTCCTCCACGGGCTTAACAATATAGTGGGAGGTGACAAAAGGAAGAAGGCTTCCAAAGGAATTGACATCTGAACTGGGCCTTGAAGAACCAAATGCAGAAGGGAGAGGGTTATTCCAGGCAAAAGGAAAAACAGTGTGCTAAGGCACAGAGGTGCAAGAGGATAAGGCAGGCTCGGTGACAGGTGAGAAGCTCAGCGAGGCTGAAGCATGGGCACTTTGAGGAAGGGAGTTGAGGTACCGAAATGTAAGAGAGGTGGGGACCATACAACAGACTGTGTCAAAAATGGCTGTATTCTGACCACAGCAGGAGGCCTGCAGAGATGTTACAGCAAGGACTGACATGACCAGGTCTGTGTGTAGAAAAATGACAGGCGTGGGGAGAAAAGCAGGGACACAAAGGAAGGAGAGGTTAGGTCCAGGTCATGCAGAATACTGATAATGAAATTCACTGTGGAGTGAGGTGAAGGGAAAAAGAATCCAGGGAAGAAATTAAAGTCAGGAAAGCAACAAACTAGGGAACCACGGCCCTCAATGGCCCAGCTCTTAAGTGTCTCTTCTCAGCTGCACACGTCCCCCACCGCTGTGGTGCAGCCATATAAGATGCTGTTCACAGCAAAATCCATAAGTATACATCCTCTGCAAACCCTTACACCTACAGGGAACCTCCTCCACTTATGTGGCCTCCTCTCTCCTTTATGAGCTTCATGGGCTTATTTCCTTACCTCCAAACCTGCCCCAGGAGAGCGTGGGGCCTGTAATTTGAGAGCGTCTCTGAAAGGGTGGAGCAGAGGATGGCCAAAAGGTATGAGCCTCATACCCAGCTCCTGCAGGTTCCCCAGACTTAGGTTTAGTGACATGGGGGAAACACACACTTCAGATGCTCAGTAAAGTGGGCGATCCTGGGCACGATCTCTGAACTACAATTCCCACAAATCACTGGGGCTACGCTACTAAGAAAAAGCGGGCTCCCTCTGGATGTCCTATGGGAATTGTAGTGCCATAGTTGTGGGGTAGCGCTCTACGTTCCCTCCTTTGACCCCCTTCAAATTCAGCCAGAGTCTCCCTGAGGTCTTCAAAGAGATCTAGTGACCCACCCATCATGGTCCATTTGGTTCGGCCCAGACTAAAGAGATGGGCAGAGGGATGCGAATAGGGTCTAGCTACTCCCTTCAGATACCTTCGCATTTGCTGGGCAAGCGTTCTGTGTCATCGTCCTCCTTCGACGTCCCAACCCAAGCGCCGTACGCAGCCAAAATGAAAAGCAACATTCCCAACCGCACAGGTCCCATGACAAAGTGCTCTCCAAACCAACAACCCCTTGCCTTCAAACCAACTTCGTGAAGGCAGCGGGCCCTTTAAATTTCGAGGCGGTGTCGGCGGGAACTTCTAGCCAGCCTGGCTTGCGAGGCGCACGCGCAGTCCCGGCCGGAAAGGAGGTGGAGCCTCATGGCGCTCCTGGCTGTCCCGCCTCGGTTTTGTGGCGCCTCTTGGGGTCCTGGCCGCCGGGTAGTGAAGGAATAAACTGAAGTTAATTGC